TCCTGCTGTGCCTCGGGCGGCAAAGTGTCTTGTGTTGACTGAAACTGGTTTTCAGTTTCCACTTGCTCTTTTAAATCCCAAATGTGTGTCTCATTCCACATGCATATGGTTCCATTCATTAAGGAGTGGAGTGAAAACCCTCCTTTGAGACCAGACGGACCCGGAGACTTGTCTGCCTCACCGACTCCTCTTTGGTTTTCCAAAGCAGCCAGACGTCCCGGTCCTTTGCCCAAGTCGAGCCCACTGGGAGCCCCTCCAAAACCTCAGAGGTTCTGGTCATCTCCTTCATGTGCGCAGTCTTCCACAGGGGATCTTTGTGTGCACTCATTCATCCGGTATGGACCATTTTTTGGACAAACACCTTATGGGGAACCCTGTAAACAAGTCGCCAACAAGAGGAGCAGTCAGTTCGGAGCTAAATCTGGACACCTCCCTCTCCCTGCCCTATTTAATTGCTATCATATGTCTGTGTGCCTATATGTCTACCTCTTTCTCTCTGTCTAGATGTGGTCACAGAGGGGCAAAATGAAGGCACTGACAAAAACAGTGTGAACTCTTGTTGTCTTTGTGTGCCTTCAAGTCATTCCCGACTTATGGCAACCTTGAGGCTAACCTATCAGGGGTTTTCTTGGCAGGATTTGTTCAAAGGGGGTTAGGTGTTGCCGTCGTCTGGGGCTGAGAGAATGCAACTCACCCAAGGTAACCCAGTGGGCTGAATGGGGATTTGAACCCAGGTCTCCAGAGGTGTAGCCCAACAAGCAGGTCTAGTATAGTCACCATGCTAACGCCTGGATACAAATTGTCACCTCCCTTAAAGCAATCTCCTTTCACTCCCCAAATCAGTGCAGTAACACTAAATTTAAGTAACTTAAACTTGAGGGTTGATAAAAAATAGTTTTAAGTATCCAAAGTAAAGGGGCAGGAAAAGTTACCAAGGGAACATGAATTTGGCAAATATTCAAGGTGTGAAAGATTTTTAATATTTCGAAACATTTGGGAAGTGAGTAACTTCACTTGGGAGGCAAAATTTGTATTTTGCCACCCATCATTGCGATACCAATCAATATATAGAGATGTTTATGTATTCTTTCTTTCTTTCAAGGAGAAGTTGAGTATCATTTATCCAGAAATTCAAAAAGTGTCTACATGGGTGGCTGACATACCGACACCATTGCTTTCTTGTGGTTCAATGTAAACAAACTGTTTCATGCACAAAATTAATTAAAGTCATATTTATAAAATTATCTTTAAGCGATGTGGTTTTAGGATATATATATATATATGGTAACACATCCGGGCAACGTCTCTGTAGATGGCCAATTCTCTCACACCAGAACCAACTTGCAGAATGTTTCCAAGTCACTTCTGATATGATAAAAAAAACCTAGATTTTGAAATATTTCTATATACACATTGAGATGGGGAACCCAAATCTAAACACGAAATTCACTATATATATAGAGTGAATTTCGTGTTTAGATTTGGGTTCCCCATCTCAATGTGTATATAGAAATATTTCAAAATCTAGGTTTTTTTTATCATATCAGAAGTGACTTGGAAACATTCTGCAAGTTGGTTCTGGTGTGAGAGAATTGGCCATCTACAGAGACGTTGCCCGGATGTGTTACCATCCTGCTGGGAGGCTTCTCTCATGTCCCCTCAAGCTTGAGCTGACAGACAGGAGCTCACCTCGTCTCACAGATTCAAATTGGCAACCTTCAGGTCAGCAACAAGGGTTTAACCCTTGTTGCTGATCCAAAATCTCAAAGCATTTTGGAGAAGGGATATGCCAACTGTACAGTTGGCCATCTATATCCACAGATTAAACCATTCATGGCTTGAAAGCATTCCTTTTTTAAAAAACCCACAAATATTTCTAAAAGCAGACCTTGACTGCCATTTAAAAAACACATTATATATAATGAGACTTAAGGATCAATGGATTTTGGTATCCACAAGCTGCTGGAACAAAATCCCAATGGATACCATAGACCCACCATATTTATATATACCATCTTTCAAATTTCTCAGATTGGTTTACACATAGAATATATACAGATAAACTAAAAATCAGATTTACATTATTTTACTGACACAAAAGCACAGTATGTAACAGCAAACGAGATCTATATGCTGGATTTCGTATCATAAAATCACAAGTCGAACATTTCCCAAGCGTCTATTATTACTATTATTACTATTATTATTATTATTACATAGCCCAAGAAAAAGTTTTCTTCTGAGTATCTTGATTTTTAGCCCTCTCCCTGGGGTGCTGGTTTGACCACACCAGCTCTAGTTTCCTAGATACTGTATGTAAAATGGTTAGAAGGTTTCCACATGTATATATTGGTAGATTTCAGATAGTACACTTTTCTTTTGATTTTAATATGTTTTCTTCATGCTTAAAATATATTAATTTAAACATGACATTAAAATACCCAGATTTTTGTAGTGGTAGATGGCATATGTCCTGTATCTCAGAAACTAGAGCTGATAGTGAGAAACTGGTGCCATTTTTGGAATCAGCAGGTGAAATACATCCAGAAACAGGTCTAACATTTGGAGCACCAAAATATTTGTTAACCAGTGTTGCTGTTGTTATTACACTATATAACAGGATTATTGTTCCTGTGTTATAAATGTCATTTCCTAATTAGTTCTATCATAAAAACATGAGCGCCCGGATAATGGAACAGTACCGGGAAAAGTTTGTTGTTGTTCATTCGTTCAGTCGTCTCCGACTCTTCGGGAAAAGTTTACTAAACTGCAAAAACATTGTTTTTGTGGGACATCGTGCAGCACATTTTGCTATAGTTTTCAATGAATATCTCATTCAGTCTCAACCAATTCAACATAGTTTGTGGCAGGCACAAAAACAAAGTTTCTGGTGTAGAATGACTTTCAAAAGTAAGTACTAAACAATTAAGCAGGAAATAACACTTTCAAGCTAGGAACAGAACATTTTTCAAATTTTGTTACATAGTTTTATTATTGTTATTGTTAACAATAATAACACTATGTAACAAAATTTCAAAAATGTTATTGTTAACAATAAGTCCCTCCGGGGAGAGAGGGAGGGGTATAAATAGAGCTTTTATTATTATTATTGTTGTTATTATTATTATTATTATTATTATTATTATTATTATTATTTGAAACACAACAAGGTGGGTCCACAGCAGACACTCTGCTGGCTGTTGTATTGGATCACATGTCGGACACTTTCCAATAATAATAATAATAATAATAATAATAATAATAATAATAATAATTTAAAAAATATTTGCGCCATCGAATTTAATGCGCACCTGAATTTTCAAAACCCTGAAACCAAAATAAGTATTTGCTGACAAAGGTAATGTGCAGCAGGAAAAGCCGCTCTCTTTGTAACATAGCCATTACAGTCACTAACCCTAAAACAAAAGTGTTAGAACACCAAAGCTTTCAGCAGTGGAAAAGAAAACTCTATGCTATGGAATGAATCCACTTTAATTGCCTTGGTTCAATGCTATGGTGCAGGCATGGGAAAACTTTGGCCCTCCAGGTATTATAGGGGCTGTAGTTTTTTTTACAAGGCCTTGAGCATTCTCTGACATAGAGGGCACATCAAACTACTGTTATGAATTGTAATGTAAATATCTGATATGCAGGACATATTTTCATTCACTGGCACAAATTTCACACAAATATCCAATATGCCCAAATTTCAATACTGGTAGAGCGGGGTGGGGTGGGGTGGGGTGTTGATTTGTCATTTGGAAGTTGTAGTTGCTGGGATTTATAGTTTACCTACAATCAAAGACCATTGTGAACTCCACCAATGATGGAATTTAACCAAACTTGGCACACAGAACTCCCATGACCAAAAGAACATACTGGGATTGGTGAGCATTGACCTTGAGTTTTGGAGTTGTAGTTCACCTACACCCAGAGAGCACTGTGGACTCAAACAATGATGAATCCAGACCAAACTTGGAACAAATACTCAATGTACCCAAATGTGAACACTGGTGGAGTTTGACAGAAATAGACCTTGACATTTGGGAGTTGTCATTGCTGGGATTTATAGTTCACCGACAATCAAAGAGCATTCTGAACCCCACCAGTAATAGAATTGGGCCAAACTTCAGAGACAGGAGCCCCATGACCAACAGAAAATAATGTGTTTTCTAGTGGTTTCGGCGCCCCCTCTGACACTCCCTCACAACCCAACCAGGGGTTGCGACCCCCAGGTTGAGAAACACTGTAATAATAATAATAATAATAATAATAATAATAATGGTGATGATGATGTATTGTCGAAGGCTTTCGTGGCCGGAATCACTGGGTTGTTGTAGGTTTTTTTGGGCTATACGGCCATGGTCTAGAGGCATTTTCTCCTGACGTTTCGCCTGCATCTATGACAAGCATCCTCAGAGGTAGTGAGGATGCTTGCTCCCTCTGAGGATGCTTGCCATAGATGCAGGCGAAACATCAGGAGAAAATGCCTCTAGACCATGGCCATATAGCCCGAAAAAACCTACAACAACCCACTAATAATAATAATAATAATAATAATAATAATAATAATAATAATGGTCAGCACAATAATAATACTTCCAAACTTCTCTTAGTTAATCAGGCTGGAAGTTGTAAACTTTTTTCCCCAAACCTCTATACTAGGGAGTCTTACGAGTTGTAGTTTCCCTTACGAGTTGTAGTTTCCCAAGGTCTTCAGCCTTTTGGGCTTAAAAGAAAACTTTTAAGGAGGGAGATCACTTTCTAGAGGACCCAGGCGACCATCTCCTACATTTCCTTTCCTGGTGGAGAGAAATAATAATAAGCCCTTCTGGATTCCTGGCTTCTCATGGGTCTGGCTGTTCCTGCTCTGACTTGCAACCCCCCCCCCCCCCCCAACCCTTCCTCTTCCCAGATCAAAGGCTCTTTCCTTGGCTCTTTGCCCTCCAATGGCAGGCGCCTGGATTGGCGGGGGCGTCTCTCTTTCTCCAGCCACCGGCTCGAGAGGGAAAGGAAGGGCTTTGGGACTGAGTCAGAGGCGAGAGTGAGTGGTTGGGCACTGAGCCTTTCAGCCTGGATCATTGGTAGCAGAAGCAGGAGCTGCCGCAGAGATGCTCGCCTGCCTTTTCCTGGGACTCGGGCTCTCCGCCTTGGCCTGGAGGGTCGCCCAAGGGGAGCCCCTGACAGGTAAAGTGGCCCAGAGGTCTTTTGGGGAGACCCCTTTGAAGATTAAGCAGTCATGGGCAAAGTTGGGCCCTCCAGGTGTTTTGGACTTCAACTCCCACCATTCCTAACAGCCTACTACAGCTCCCAGAAGCCCCCAGCCTGCATTCGCAGGCTGGGGGCTTCTGGAGCTGTAGTAGGCTGTTAGGAATGGTGGGAGTTGAAGTCCAAAACACCTGGAGGGCCCAACTTTGCCCATGCCTGGTCCAGAGGGACAAGGAAGGGGGAAAGTGAATGGGAAAGGGGCGAGTGGGAATAATGAGTGAATGAATGAATGTTAGTTCCATCCTTCTGTATATCGCTCATCCTTCAGTGCGAGATGGCATGAGACAAGCTAAGGGGCATCTACACTGTAGAATGAATGTGGTTTGACAACATATTACATTGCCAGGGCTCTATACTAGAGAGTCGTTACAAGTTGTAGTTTCCCAAGGTCTTCTGCCTTTTGGGCTCTATGCTAGGGAGTCTTGTGAGTTGCAGTTTCCCAAGGTCTTCAGCCCTTTGGGCTCTCTACTAGGGAGTCATGCGAGTTGTAGTTTCCCAAGGTCTTCAAACTTTTGGGTTCTATGCTAGGGAGTCTGATGAGTTGTAGTTTCCTAAGGTCTTCTGCCTTTTGGACTCTATGCTAAGGAGTTTTGCGAGTTGTCGTTTCCCAAGATCTTCTGCTTTTTGGGCTCTCTACTAGGGAGTCTTTATTAGTTGTAGTTTCCCAATGTTTTCAGACTTTTGGTCTCTATACCAGGGCATCTTATGAGTTGTAGTTTCCCAAGGTTTTCAGACTTTGGGGCTCTATACCAGGGAATCTTATGAGTTGTAGTTTCCCAAGGTCTTCTGCCTTATGGGCTCTATACTAGGGAGTCTTATGAACTGTAGTTTCCTAAGGTCTTCAGCCTTTTGGGCTCTCTAACTAGGGAATCCTACGAGTTGTACTTTCCCAAGGTCTTCTATATCTCCCACTGTATTTCATGACCGGAACACTGGGTTGCTGTGAGTTTTCCGGACTGAATGGCCATGTTCCAGAAGCATTCTCTCCTGACGTTTCGCCTGCATCTATGGCATCTATCTGAGGATGCCTGCCATACATGCAGGCGAAACGTCAGAAGAGAATGCTTCTGGAACATGGTCACTCAGCCCGGAATACTCACAATACATTTCCCACCTTTCCATAGCAGTTCAGGTGGTCCCAAACTGTGTTAATTCCACAGTATAGATGCATCCCTAGAACCTGCCATTAAGGACTTCTACAGGTGCAGCATTCCTTATCATTGCCTCTTTTCATAAGAGACCGGACGCCATTAGATAAGCCTGACGGTGATTATGCACTCTGCACATGCCCCGGAGGCGCCTCGCCTCCACACGCGCTGAGGGCTAAGCCCCGCCCCCGCCGCCTGGGTCTCAGCCCCGCCCACTTCTGACGCAACGCCAAAGCAATCAATGGGGAGGGGAGTCCTCTGCGGTTGGAATGTTCATGAATGCGAGGCCACGCCCCCTCCGCGAAGCCCTCTTCCTTATTGGCTGACTTTGAGAAAGGGGCGGGGAAGAAAGGTTTCTGATTCCTGCAATTGAGAAACTTGTTGGGAACTAAAGAATAAGAAAGGGAGGGGAGAAAGAGGAGGAGGAGGAGGGGGTGACGTATGCGTCATGCGACCCACACAGTGACTCACTCGCCCCCCCTCCCTCTCTCCCCAGTTTCTGGGCCCCGCGCCATCTGTTTGCTGGCACGAGGGCATATTTTCTCAATGAAGTCACTTCAAAAGGGAAGGAGACCTAATCCACGCCCCCTCGGGGCTCAGGAGTTGCCTTTGGGGGTGGACTACAAGTCCCAGAATCCCTCCCAGCAGCATGGTTGTTCTTGGGAGTTGTAGACAGCTGAGAGAATTGGTGGACTACAGCTCCCATCATCCCCCATCAACTGATGAGATATTCTTGCAGTTCCCTTTGGTGGACTACAGCTCCCATCATCCCCCAGTCAATTGATGAGACGATCTTTGCAGTTATAGTCCACCCAATGAAACTTCCTGACAGCTGTGAGGCTTCCTTTTTGGTGGACTGCAACTCCCAACACTCCCTTCAGTTGATGGGGGATTCTGGGAGTTGTAGTCTACCCAGAAGAACTCCCTACTAGAACTGAGAGAGTTCCTTTCGGTAGGACAGCATCTCCCAGGATCCCAACATAGGGGTTTCTGGGAGCTGTAGTCTCCTAAAAGGAACTCCCCCTGAGAGAGTTCCTTTTGATGGACTACAGCTCCCAGCATCCCCCATTCTGGACAATAGTCAGCATTCTGGGAGATTATGGGAGTTGCAGTCCACCAAAGGGAACTCCCCCTGAGGAAATTCCTTTTGAAGGACTACAGATCCTAGCATCCCCTATTCTGGACAATAATCAGAATTCTGGGGGATTCTGGGAGTTGCAGTCCATTTGAAGAACTACAGATCCCAGCATCCCCCATTCTGGACAATAGTTGGAATTCTGGGGGGTTCCAGGAGTTGCAGTCCACCAAAAGGAACTCACCCTAAAAAAGTACCTTTTGATGGACTACAGCTCCCAGCATCCCTTATTCTGGAAGATAGTCAGAATTATGGGAGTTGCAGTCAACCAAAAGGAACTCTCTTTAAGACAGTTTCTTTTGAGGGACTACAGATCCCAGCATCCCCCATTCTGGACAAGAGCCAGAATTCTGGGGGATTCTGGGAGTTGCAGTCCACCAAAAGGAACTCCCCCTGAGAGAGTTCCTTTTGATGGACTACAGCTCCCAGCACCCCCTATTCTGGGAGATAGTCAGAATCCTAGAATGATGGAAGTTGCAGTCAACCAAAGGGAACTCCCCTTAAGAGAGTTTCTTTAGATGGACTACAGCTCCCAGCATCCCCTTGCTAAATGATGTTATATTCTGGTGATTATCTATCTAAAGGAATTCCCCATTAGAGCCAAGTGAACTTCATTTGGTGGATCACAATAGAATTCTGGGGGTTTTGGGAGTTGCAGTCGAAAGGAATTCCCCCTGAGAGAGTTCCTTTTAATGGACTACAGCTCCCAGCATCACCTTACTAATTGATGGTATATTCTGGCAGTTTTCTACCTAAAGGAATTCCGCATTAGAGTTCAGAGAGCTTCTGACAATAGTCAGAATTCTGAGGGCTTCTGGGAGTTGTAGTCCACCAAAAGGAACTTTTCCCCAAGCTCTCCCTCTCCTCCACCCACTCCCCCACCATGTGATGCTCCTCAGCGGTGACCCCTTTTCTGCTCTCCTCCTGTTGCTGCTTGGGCCTGCTTCGGGTTTCGAAACACGACACCCCCTCCTCACTGACGTGGCCCCTCTGAAAATAGCCCCTCATGTCATGGGAAGGGGGAGCGAAGAGGTCCGCCTGTGGGCTACGTGCAGTGGGCCCACATTTATGGGATTTCTTTCCCCCGTCCTAGCCCTTTTGTTCAGCTGCCCATCCGCTTCGTGTCCCAGCTTGCTGTTTGTTTACTTTTTCTTCTTACACACTTCATTCATTTCTTCATTTCACTTCTTTCTGCCCATTTTCTGAGTTGCTGCCTTTCTACCCATTTTGTTGCTGGATTTCATCCAGTTGAGCTCCTTAAAGTCATTTCTGATTGATGGCAACCCAATCGTATAATGAGCAGTGTGAGCTCCCGCTGTTAGCCCCAGCTTCTGCCAACCTAGCAGTTCGAAAGCATGACAATGTGAGTAGATCAATAGGTACCGCTCCAGCGGGAAGGTAACGGCGCTCCATGCAGTCATGCTGGCCACATGACCTTGGAGGTGTCTATGGACAACGCCGGCTCTTCGGCCTAGAAATGGAGGTGAGCACCAAACCCCAGAGTCAGACACGACTGGACTTAATGTCAGGGGAAAACATTTACCTTTACCTAATAGTATAATGTTTTTAGGCAAGATCTGTTCAGAAGAGGTTAATCATAGACTTCCTCTCAGGCTGAGAGAGTGTGACAGCCAAGTTGGCCCAGGAACCATCTAAAATGTCATATAATCCAGTTCCTGAATCCAAAATTATCTGCTTTGAACTGGATTATGTAACAGTGTAGATATAATCCTGTTCGAAGTGGATAATCTGGATTGTATAGTAATGTAGATCAGGCATGGGCGAACTTCAGCCCTCCAGGTGTTTTGGACTTCAACTCCCACAATTCCCAACAACCAAGTTGACCCAAGAACCATCTACACTGCCATATAATCCAGTTCCTGAATCCAAATTATCTGCTTTGAACTGGATTATGTAACAGTGTAGATATAATCCTGTTCAAAACGGATAATCTGGATTGTATAGTAGTGTAGATCGGACACGGGCGAACCTCGGCCTTCCAGGTGTTTTGGACTTCAACTCCCACAATTCCTAACAGCCGGTAGGCTGTTAGGAATTGTGGGAGTTGAAGTCCAAAACACCTGGAGGGCCAAAGTTCACCCATTCCTGGTGTAGATTTAGCCCCAGCAGGTTTTATGGCTGAAAGTGTATTCGAAGCCTGATCTCCCAGGATGTATCTGCACTATATAATTAATGCAGTTTGGCACCACTTTAATGGACATGCCTCAATATTTATATTTTGGAGAGGCACCAGCGCTCTTTGGGAGAGAAGGCTAAAGACTTTGTAAAACTACCAGGATTGTGTAGGTTTTAAGCCATGTCAGTTAAAGTGGTATCGAACTGTGCTAATTCTTCAATGTAGATGCCTCTGAAGTCCTCAAATGAACCAGTTTAGCCTGCTGCTGCAAGGAGTTAAAACAGTCATTTCTCTTTTTTCTTTCCCATCAGCTACTGCCTGCCCTGGAGGCCAATCCTGGAGTCTTGATTTGGAGAAATGTATGGATTGCGCTGTGTGCCGATTCCAGAACATGAATGACTTCTGTTCTTCGTGTGAGTGGCTACCAACAAACCATCATCCCCTGGGCATGTTAAGCCTGCAGAAGAGAAGGCTGAGAGGAGACATAATGAGGGGCATGTATAAATATGGGAGGAGAAGTCATAGGGAGGAGGGAGCAGGCTTGTTTACTGCTGCCCTGGAGACTAGGATGCAAAACAATGGCTTCAAACTACAGGAAAGAAAGGACATTCCACCTGAACATTAGGAAGAACTTCCTAACCGTGAGCGCTGTTCAACAGTGGAACTCTCTGCCCCAGAGTGTGGCGGAGGCTCCTTCTTTGGAGGCTTTTAAGCAGAGGTTGGATGGCCATCTGTCAGAAGTGCTTTGAATGCAATTGTCCTGCATCTTGGCAGAATAGAGTTGGACAGGATGGCCCATGTGGTCTCCCAAATAAAAATGTCGCAGGGTGCATCTACACTCATAAATTACTTTTAATATATGTGTGTTATGGCAACAATTTTTATGCTTATATTTTGTTTTGTTAATCTTATGGCTATGTTGTTTTTTACTTTGTATGTTTTGTGATGTTACCTGGGAACTGCTCTGAGTCCCTTCGGGGAGATGGAGCGGTATATAAATAAATAAATAATAATTATTATTATTATTATTATTATTATTATTATTATTATAAATTAATGCAGTTCGATACCACTTTAACTGCCTCGACTCAATGCAATAGAATCATGGCATTTGTAGTTTACATGGCCTGTCGCTTTCTCTGCCAAAGAGTGTGGTACCTAACCAAACTACAAATCCCATGATGTCATGGCATTGAAACATGGTAGCTAAAGTGAAGTCAAACTGGAGTAATTCTACAGTGTGGATCAGCCATGGGCAACTTTGGCCCTCTTTGTTGCTTTGGACTTCAACTCCCACCATTCCTAACAGCCTCAGGTCCCTTCCTTTTCCCCCTCAGCCGCTTAAGCGGCTGAGGGGGAAAAGGAAAGGGCCTGAGGCTGTTAGGAATGATGGGAGTTGAAGTCCAAAGCACTTGGAGGGCCAAAGTTTGCCCATGCCTGGTGTAGATGCACCTCAGTTTTCAAGAGTTGCTGTACCATGCGTGGGGTGGGTATTTACAACATGGATACATTTGGCAAAGGGACGATCGAATCCGAAATGACGCACATCTCTGTATAAAAATGGAATTTTTGAGTCCTGAGTGTTTTTCTCTTTTTGTGTTTCCGTTCATATGGGTACACACCCAATTCATGACGTCTGGGTTAATTCCTTTGGCCCGACAAATCAAATCCACATGTTGGGGGGGGGGGGGGCATTCATTCTGTCTGTCTCAAAAATCAGAGCTGGAGATATTTTATATGTGAGTGCGTGTTTGGAACATGTGTGTTTTGTGCCTTGGAGTTGCTTTTGGTCCATAGCAACTCTGGGAAATCTCTCTCGTGGTTTCCTTGGCCACGATTTGCATTGGCAAAGTGCCTTCGCCATTGCCTTCCTCTAAGGCTGGGGAAGTGTGGCTTGCCCAAGGTCACCCAGTGGGTTTCCTTAGCTTAGTTAAGATATAGCTTAGTTAGGATACAAAACCAGATCTCCAAGAGCCCTAGGGTTCCTCTACACTGTTAAATGAATGTGGTTTAACACCACATTCATGGCTGTGACTCAACGCTATGAAATCACACTGGTTGTAGTTGACAGAGAAGAATTTGTAAAGCTACAGCTGCCAGGATTCCATAGCATTGTGCAATGGCAATTAAAGTAGTGTCAAACTGCATTAATTCTTCAGTGCAGATGCTCCCCTAGTCCATCTCTCAAACCACTGGCTCTCAGTGTGTGTGTGTGTGTGTGTGTGTGTGTATCCAGTAGTGCAGTGGGTTAAACCGCTGAGCTGCTGAACTTGCTGATCGAAAGGTCGGTGGTTTGAATCCGGGGAGTGGGGTGAGCTCCCACTGTTAGCCCCAGCTTCTGCCAAATTAGCAGTTCGAAAACATGCAAATGTGAGTAGATCAATAGGTACCGTTTCGGCGGGAAGGTTACGACGCTCCATGCAGTCATGCTGGCCGCATGACCTTGGAGGCGTCTATGGACAACGCTGGCTCTTCGACTTAGAAATGGAGATGAACATCACCCCCCAGAGTTGGACACGACTAGACTTGATGTCAAGGGGAAAGCTTTACCTTTGTCAAAGGCTTTCACTTGGTTGTTGTGTGTTTTCCGGGCTGTATGGCCATGTGCCAGAAGCATTCTCTCCTGATGTTTCACCTGCATTTATAGGTCAGGCATCCTCAGAGGTTGTAAAGTCTCTCACAACCTCTGAGGATGCCTGCCATGGATTCAGGTGAAACATCAGGAGAGAATACTTCTGGCACATGGCCATACAGCCCCAAAAACACAACAACACAACCTTTACCTTCCCTCTCTCTCTATATATGTGTGTGTGTGTGTGTGTGTTCAATTCTTTTGTAGTGGCAGATATACCCATTTTGGGGAAAATTCTGGCAGGAAACAAGTTGAGAAGTAGAGTGAATGTTTTTAGGATGGATTTTTTGGTGATGCTCCACTGAATTTAACCAATTTCTCTCTATTCCAGGTAGAGACCCTCAACCTCCAGACACATTCAACTTGTGGCTTTTTGTGGGAGTGCCTTTGGCAGCTGTCTTTCTGATGAGTCTTATTGTGGGCATAGTAACCTATGTCCGCTGTCGGCGGCGGGAAAAGTTCACCAGTAAGTGCTAATAGATTCAAGCTTCGGGACCAAAGCTCCATCTCCTTCCCAATGATTATGTAAACTACATTTTTAATAACTTCTCTCTGTTTTGCAATGTTTTCAGCCCCCATTGAGGAGACCGGAGGACACTCCGCTCAGGAATCGCTGATACACTGAAGGTGAGGATGGGTGTTTCTGATCTTAGGCTATAGTTTTGTCCTGCCCTGACCTTTCATTGGTTAACTGAACATTTACACTGACTTGGCATCTTTTCCTATTTTTAAAAGGAGCCAAGTTGTTGTCAAAAAAACTCCCAACACATTGCAACATCTCTATGCCTTGTCTTTTCAGTTCTAGTACACACAAAAATGTTGTTGACCCCTGTCCATTTGCAGAAGACAAGTCTGTTAGCCTGAGCATTAATTGGCATGACTGATCACAGCAGAATGTTTTTTCCCCTTTCGGCACAGTGTATTCTAAGTCCCAAAGCACCGAGTGAGTGAAAAGGTTTCCAATCATGAAAGTAAATCCTATTGAACTCAAGAGGACATACATGGGAATAAAAATATAGGCTTAGGAAATATCTACACCAAAGATTGCCAAACTTTGGTCCTCCAGGTGCTTTGGACTTCAGCTCCCACAATACCTAACAGCTAATAAACTGGCTTGGATTTCTAGGAGTTGAAATCCAAACCACCTGTAAGACCAGATGCTGGAAAACAATTATTTACATTATTGATTCAATGCAGCTTGAAGCCACTTTAACTACCATGGCTCAATGGTATGGAATCCTGGGAGTTGTAGCTTGCCAAAGTCTTTATCTCTCTCTGCTGAAAAGTGCAATTGGCTCACAAAACTGCAGCTAAAATCGATCTAGTTAACTTTCTGCTTAAGAAATTTTGGGGAATCTGGTTTTCTCGGGTCTAATCCAACTCTCTAAACCAGGACTTCAACTCCCAGGACTCCTAGTTGTTGGCTAAGATGGCTGGGGCTTCTGGGAGTTGAAGTCCCAAACTCAGAGAACCAACAACTTGGAACAAAGACCACTAAACCAGTGCTTCACAATCTTCCTAATGCCATGAGCCCTTAATCAAATTCTTCATGTTGTGGTGACCCCCCAACCATAACATTATTTTCGTTGCTACTTCATAACTGTGATTTTGTTACTGTTATGAATCGTAATGTAAATATCTGATATGCAGGATGTATTTTCATTCACTGGACCACATTTGGCACAATTACCCAATATGCCCAAATTTGAATACTAGTAGGGTTGCGAGGGGAGGGAATTGATTTTGTCATTTGGGAGTTGTAGTTGCTGGGATTTATAATCACCGACAAACAAAGAGCATTCTGAACTCCACCAACAAACTTGGCACACAGAACTCCCATAACCAATAGAAAATATGGAAGTTTCTGGTGGACAATGACCTTGAGTTTGCGAGTTGTTGTTCACTTACATCCATAGATGACTGTGGACTCAAACAATGATGGATCTAGACCAAACTTGCCACAAATACTTAATATACCCAAATGTGATCACTGGTGGAGTTTGGAGAAAATAGACCTTGATATTTGGGAGTTGTAGTTGCTGGGATTTATAGTTTACTTATCATCAAATAGCATTCTGAATCTCACCAATGGGAGAAGTGGGCCAAACTTCCCACACAGAACCCCCGTGACCAACAGAAAATGCTGTGCTTACTAATGGTCTTTGGTGATCCTTCTGACACCCCCTTGCAAGCCCCCTCAGAGGTCCCGACCCCCAGGTTGAGAAACATTGCTCTAAGCCATTCTCATTCAAATATATAAATCACAATGGCAGTTCTGGCTGGGGGTTATGGGAACTGGTATCCAATACACATGGTATGGCATCCTCTGAGTGACATATATGCATGTAAGTTGACCTTATGTCCATATTTATGGACATATTTCAGGAAGCAAGTGCCTGGCACTTTGCACTCTTTCTGAAATGTAACACCCATAAGTAAGTCCAGTTTTTTCCCACAACCTTAGTCCTCTCCTTTCATATTCCTCCTTTTTCCTCCCTCTTTTGCAGATCTTTCCCGCAACATTTCAAATGAAAGAAGAAATGTCAACTTTCATTACCTCTGGCTTTTCCTGAAGATACCAGGAGGACATTTTCCTTTGTCCTGGAGTTCAGGGCCTTACATTCATTTGCGCTCATAGATGGGCACATGAGAAGGTGATGCTCTGTGAGGGCAACTGCTCCGGTGCCTTGTAAACATTTCAGGAAAAACAAGACAAAAAGTATTGGTGATCCCTTTTGTAAAGGCACATCAGCCTTCCCCATCAATTTTTTTTTTGGCTTCTGGGAAGGAGCAAAAGGGATCAGTTAAATCTTCCAGGATCTAATGCCTCATATTGAGGTGCTTGATTTTTCATAACTGGGATACAGCTGTGGGGAACCTTGCAGCTCCCACATCCTGGAAGACTGCTGCTGTGACATTTCCCTCTAGGGAGCAGCTTAAAGCAAATATAAATGTGATTTCCTCCATGATTTATATGCAGTCGGCTCTCCACATGAGTGGATTTAACTTGCGGGATTATTTGGAAGTTGACCATAGCTAGAGATTCCTAGTGAAAACATTTCTCTGGGGTCCTTCAGCACAAGGCTATAGTCAGTGCCTGATGGATGTTGACATTAAAGTCATGATAGAAGACCTAGAGCAGTTGTTCTCAACCTGTGGGTCCCCAGATGTTTTGGCCTTCAACTCCCAGAAATCCTAACAGCTAGTAAACTGGCTGGGATTTCTGGAAGTTGTAGGCCAAAACACCTGGGGACCCACAGGTTGAAAACCACTGCTCTAGGTCTTCTATCATGACTTTAATTTCAATGTCCACCAGGTGCTGTCTCTAGACTTGTGCTGAAAGACAAACACTTCTGTAGATGTTTGTAGGTCATCAAGTCCATGTCCATAGTCACCATCTGGTGAAAGTTGACCATAGACTTACAATAAAGGACCTAGGGATTCCTAAATAGGTCATCTCTCTTAAGTATTTGTAGGGTCTCCAGGTCTGTGGTCAATGTTTGGTACAAGTTGACCTTAGAGCAGTTGTTCTCAACCTGTGCGTCCCCAGATGTTTTGGCCTTCAACTCCCAGAAATCCTAACAGCTGGTAAAACTGGCTGGGATTTCTAGTATTTGTAGGGCCTCCAGGTCTGTGGTCAACATCTGGTAGATGTTGATCTGGTAGAAGTTGACCTTAGATAAGTGGTTCTCAACCTGGGGGTCCCCAGATTTGAGAAACTCCCAAACTCCCCAGATTTGAGAACTCCCAGAAATCCTAACAGCTGATAAACTTACAATAAAGGACCTAGGGATTCCTAAAGAGGTTACCTCTCTTAAATATTTGTAGGACCTCCAGGTCTGTGGTCAACATTTGGTAGAAATTGACCTTAGAGGACTGGTTCTCAACCTGTAGGTCCCCTGATGTTTTGGCCTTCAACTCCCAGAAATCCTAACAGCTAGTAAACTGGCTGGGATTTCTGGGAGTTGTAGGCCAATATACTGGGGACTGCCTTAAAGTGACACTGGCGAACCTAGAAATTTCTAGAGATATGTTCTTTCAGTAAAAAAGTGTTTGTTTTTAATTGTGGCTTTTCCACTTTTGCGTGGGTCCTGCACCCCAACCCCAAACAAATGTGGAGGGCCCATTGTATATATTTAGAGAGGGAGAAAGAAATAGTGTGTTAAGGCTCTCTAGGGGCCCTTTGGACACTACACAGCGATAGCACTATGGTTCCACTGTAAACTGCATTGGCTCCATCCTGTTGAAATTCTGACACTGGCCATTGAGAATTCTCAGTCAGGAAGCCTTAGTGGAGGCACGAGCCAACTTCGGCCCTCCAGATGTTTTGGATTTCAAACTCCCACAAATCCTAAGAGCTTGTGGGAGTTGAAGTCCAAAACACCTGGAGGGCCAAAGTTTGCCCATGCCTGGCTTAGCAGCTCCTCAAACTACATCTCCCAAGAGTTTACAGGGGAACCATAATGTGATTCCTGTGTAGTGTGACAGAGTCCTAGGAGAAGGACAAGATGAGCCACTTGTGCAGTTTTCTCTTCGCAGTGGCTGGGCCATTGTGAAGAGGGAAAAAGAAAGGTCACAAGTTAAATAGGAACTACGTTGGTGTGAGTTCCTCCCTCCTCCTGCTCCTCTTCCTCGGTGCTCATGCAGAGAGGGTGCTATTTATGTCTTCTATTATCACAAAGAGAACTTTTAATTATCTAAGTGTGTGTTTTCCAGGCATGTCAAAATGAATTAAAGGTTGGTGAGTTTAAAATAAAGTTTAATTCTTGAAGAAACCAGAGGGTGTTCTATTTTTATATGCAAATGCCATGGCAGTTTTCACTCCATGTGTCAGTCCTTTCGATGGCATTCGACAGACACTAACATCTTATGCATTGGCAAGTTCCCTTCTACTTGTAAGTAAAGGTAAAGGTTCCCCCTTGACATTAAGTCAGTCGAGTTCGACTCTGGGGGTGGTGCTCATCTCCATTTCTAAGCCAAAGAGCCGGCATTGTCCATAGACACCTCCAAGGTCATGTGGCCGCCATGACTGTATGAAGCCGTTACCTTCCCGCCAGAGCGCTACCTATTGATCTACTCACATTTGCATGTTTTCAAACTGCTAGGTTGGTAGAAGCTGGGCCTAACAGTAAGAGCTCACCCTGCCCCCTGGATTTGAACTGCCGACCTTTTGGTCAGCAAGTTCATCAGCTCAGTGGTTTAACCTGCTGCACCACCAGGGGCTTCTACTTATAGTAGTGCTTTTTTGGCCAACGCATAATTTCTGTTTTCAAGTGAAGAATAAAAAGTAGAATTACTTATACAGTGTGTCATTGCACGCTGCTTGCATTTGTTTCTTCAATTTCCTATCAAAAGGGATCGAGGGACAGCTCATGAGAAAAGCCTGTGTTCAAAAACCCCAAAGGCTGTTGCTCATGTAATCAAACATTATAAGTCTGCATAGATAAAAGGTCTGAGACAGCCCAGAAACCTAGTTTCCAAGCTTAACCACTATGCTACGTTAGGAAAAACTAGGAGGCAATAAGGTCTCTGAGAGGAGAAGATGGGGTAATGCTGACAGGGGATAGGGAGAACTATTTAATGTCTTCTTTGCCTCAGTTTTCTCATAAAAACAAAGTCATCTTCAACCTCAGCAACATAGAGCGGATGAAGGATTGGGGGAAATCCAACCCCAAATAGGGAAACAAGTCGTTCAGGAATACCTAACCACTCTAAATGAATTCAAGTCCCCAGGGCTGGATCAACTACATCCAAGAGTATTGAAGGAACTAGCGGAAGTTATTTCGGAACTACTGGCAATCATCTTTGAGAGTTCTTGGAGAATGATCAAGGGTCCGGAGAACAAGCCCTATTTTATCTATCTATCTATCTATCTATCTATCTATCTATCTATCTATCTATCTATCTATCTATCATGTCAGGAGCGAACCAAACAGTTGTATTGTATTGTAGAAAACAACACACAGAATTAGCAAACTAGGCATTCTATTAAATGTCCTTTGACCAGTAGCTGGCCACTTGGAGAGCCTCTGGTGTTGCTATAAGAAGGTCCTCCATTGTGCATGTGGCAGGGCTCAGGTTGCATTGCAGTAGGTGGTCTGTCGTTTGCTCTTCTCCACATTCGCATGTGGTGGATTCCACTTCGTAGCCCCATTTCTTAAGATTGGCTCTGCATCTCGTGGTGCCAGAGCGCAGTCTGTTCAGCACCTTCCAAGTTGCCCAGTCTTCTGTGTGCCCAGGAGGGAGTCTCTCATTTGGTATCAGCCAATGATTGAGGTTCTGGGTTTGAGCCTGCCACTTTTGGACTCTCGCTTGCTGAGGTGTTCCAGCGAGTGTCTCTGTAGATCTTAGAAAACTATTTCTTGATTTAAGTCATTGGCGTGCTGGCTGATATCCAAGTGGGATGGGCCAGATATGTCACTGCCTTGGTCCTTTCACTATTGGTTGCTACTTCCCAGCAGATGCCAGGTAGTGCAATACTGGCTAAACAGTGTAATTTCTCCAGTGATGTAGGGTGCAGACACCCCGTGAAATGCATCATGTCTTATTAAGAGCCACATTCACTGTTTTAATATGGTGAGATGTGTTCTACACTGGCCATGCATATTCAGCAGCAGAGTAGCAAAGCACAAGGGCAGACGCCTTCGCTGTATCTGGTTGTGATCACATAGGGATCACAAGCTCTATGAGGAGTGGCTTAAAGAGCTAGGCATGTTTAGCCTGCAGAAGAGAAGGCTGAGAGGAGACATGATGAGGGCCATGTATAAATATGTGAGGGGAAATAATAGGGAGGAGGGAGCAAGCTTGAGACTAGGAAACGAAATAATGGCTTAAAAGTACAAGAATGGAGATTCCACCTGAACATTAGGAAGAACTTCCTGACTATGAGAGCTGTTCAGCTGTGGAACTCTCTGCCCCAGAGTGTGGTAGAGGCTCCTTCTTTGGAGGCTTTTAAGCAGAGGCAGGATGGCCATCTGTTGGGGGTGCTTTGAATGCGATTTTCCTGCTTCTTGGCAGGGGTTTCCCACCATTCTTAACAGCCTCAGGCCCCTGAGGGCTCAAGTTGGCCCCTGCCTGTTCTACATCCTCTGTTTTCTAAGATGTGGTTTTTTGTCAAAGGCCTTTTCAAACCAATCTCACAAAATCAAAGATCTTCTTAAACAAACCCTCCACAAATGAGAGGTTGTGGGATTTCATCTCGCCTGGAACCATTTCCTCCAGCTCCAGATGTATGAAGGACAACAGTGGCGATTCATGTGGTTAAGGAAAATATACTCTGACCATGTTCAACTCATTCTCAAGTTCCATGGTGGAAGGTCATAATTTACTACCAAACTCATTGACTATCATTTCTGTTAATTAGAATCACAACATTAAAAGAGATCCCTGGGGTCATCCAGCCCAACCCCATCCCACTATACACAATCAAAGGACTCCCAACAGACGGCTTCCAGTCTCTATTTAAAACTTCCAAAGGAGACTCTGAGGCACTGGATTTCACTCTTGAACAGCTCTAACCATCAGAAAATTCTTCCTAAATGACTTTCATGGCCAGAGTCACTGGGTTGCTGTGAGTTTTCCATACCATATGGCCATGTTCCAGAAGCATTTTCTTCTGACATTTTGCACACATCTATGGCAGGCATCCTCCGAGGTTCTGAGGTCTGTTGGAAACTAGGCAAGTGAGGTTTATATATCTGTGTAATGTCCAGGGTGGGAGAAAGAACTCTTGTCCGCTTGAGGCAAGTGTAAATGTTGCAATTGGCCATCTTGATTAGTGTTTAATTGACTTGCAGCTTCAAAGCCTGGCTGGTAAAGAGCAACACTCAAAAATCAGGGAAATTCAAACAATGAATCAGGGCCAGCTAACACCTCCCAACAAAGCAACCCCCCAGGCAGTAAACAGGTAGGCTTTGGAGCTGCAAGGCCATTAATCAAGGTGGCCAATTGCAACATTCACACTTGCCTCAAGCAGACAAGAGTTCTTTCCCCCACTCTGGATATTCTACAGATGTATAAATCTCACTTGCCTAGTTTCCAACAGACCTCAATTGGTTGCTGCGTGTTTTTCAGGCTGTATGGCCATGTTCCAGAAGCATTCTCTCCTGACGTTTCGCCCACATCTATGGCAGCCTAGTTTCCAACAGACCCCT